ACAAGGGTTAGGGGGCCGTGCCCCCTGGGCTTGGCCCTGGGGCCAAGCCACGGGCACAAGCCACGGGCCCAAGCCACGGGGCTTACAAGGGCCCAAGCCCTATAATTATATCCTCCTTTGGCCCAAAACAAGTGAATCTTTTCCCTTATTGCATGCGCCGGAATATGATCCGGCGATTTAAATATTTTAATAAGTTTTTTGTAGCGTTAATGTAAATGTTAATAAGCTTTGTTAAGTAACGTAAAATTTATTAAATAACAAACCCAATATTCGGGCGGGTTAACAGCATTAAATACATAACGGTTTTTATAATCCTTTGTAAAAGTTTAACTTTAGTTAAAGTTACAAAGGATCCGCCAATATTGTTAAAATTAACAAGTTATGTAAGGTGCTTAGCCTTTGCACTTACCCTGCACTTACCCACGTTAATTAGCACAAGTTAAATTTGGAAGCCGAACGCGGAAATCGCTTTGGTGGCCGTGGGTCGATTTTTAAAAATCCCCATACAAAATAATATTGCAAAAAATCGCGCGCGGCACCGCAACCTTTTAAAGGTAAAAACCCGCAAAATCGACGTTGGTAAGTATATAAAAAAAGCATTAAGTTAGCACCCTTTCCCTGGAATAACACCTATTTTTAATAACCAACGTGGGTTTGGTAGCATTATATTATAATGCTTAACAAGCCCAACCATTGTGAACGTAACCTTATAAATTGCTATAATCGTGCTGCAAAGCCCCACTTTAAACCTTGTAATTTAATAAGCTATAAGCCCGGGAAAACCAATGGTTTTAAACCATTAAAGGCTTATCGACAGGGTTGGGAATTAAGTCAGTAAGTCAAGTCATTACCATGACTTTGACTTACTAAAAAAGTCATGGCGGTGACTTTGACTTACTATGACTTACTAATGACTTACTTAAATGACTTAGCAAGTCACATTAAGTTATTTGGATAAATAATAAAGTAAATTGGTATAAATTTAATTAAATAAATAAGTAAATATATTTGTAATAAAATACGTAAGTACGCAAATAATTTAGCTAATAAATTAATAAATAAGCAAATAAATAAGCAAATAAATAAGCAAATAAATAAGCAAATAAATAAGCAAATAAATAAGCAAACAAATAAGCAAATAAATAAGCATATAAAAAAACAAATAATAATAAATAATTAAAAAATCCATATCGTCTTCCGTTAAATCCCGTAATATTTCGTAATTCCCGGTATTTTTAACCGGTTTTGTTTAATAAT